ACATATTTTCAGTATTTAGAGCAGAAGCATTATTTTTTTTTTTTTTTTTTGACAGGCATAGTGGACAGTGAGAGAGAGACAGAGAGAGAAAGGTCTTCCTTTGCCGTTGGTTCACCCTCCAATGGCTGCCGCTGCCGGCGCACCGCGCTGATCCGATGGCAGGAGCCAGGATCCAGGTGCTTTTCCTGGTCTCCCATGGGGTGCAGGGCCCAAGCACCTGGGCCATCCTCCACTGCACTCCCTGCCCATAGCAGAGAGCTGGCCTGGAAGAGGGGCAACCGGGACAGAATCCGGCGCCCCGACCGGGACTAGAACCCGGTGTGCCGGCGCCGCAAGGTGGAGGATTAGCCTATTGAGCCACGGTGCCGGCCTAGAAGCATTATTATTTTAACATACTTACTTGTACTTAAATCCCACTTATTCCCTAATTTCCTCATGATAAAAGAGTGAAAAATTTTACCTGATCCTTTTGGTATCTGCTTTGAAATACTCTTTTCCTCTGCATCAGGAAAGATATTTTTAGTTAATTATTATGTTTAGAATAAAAGATTAGGAAAAGAAATATACACTTTTATGGCCCTCACAGCTTTTTTAAAGATAAATTTGACAAAGGCTTATCTAAGGAAACATGTTATTAAAGTTAAAATATCCTTTTTCAGTTATAAGACATACCTGTTCCATATATTACCTTTTCTGAAATTGGTATACATTTTACAATTGCTGACATCATTTTCTTAATTGAGTGATAGTATTGTGTAGTTTTATGTAATGCTTTGCTGACACATTTTGGCAAAATTAACCCAAGTACCAATATGAAAGCATTTTAGTATACTCTGATAATGAATCAGTGACCTCACTGAGAAGTGGCTGGAAATCTGGCAATCTCTGTAAGCCATTCCATCTTTTTTAGTTTATTTTAAGCATTAACAAATATGAGCCTTTGAAATGGTTATTAATAAACCTCTGGTGCTAGTAGAGCATATGTTCCTCCCCACCTTTTTCTTGCTGGCTAGCTGATTATATCTGGGAACTGAATGGATTTTTATTCTCAGCAGAAAAAATTATCCAAGTTCTTTTTCATCTGTTTATATGAATTTTTTTCCTGTTATAAACTTACTGTACATATTGTCTCGTGTCTGTTTCCCATGTAATACTATATGTCAACTTTTTAGTTTTTAAAAACTTCAACTTAATTTTCAAAAGTTTAAAATGATATATAATATTACATAGTTTATTTATAACATAATTTAATGAATGTGTCCCATGTTCAGTATTTGTTATTTACATTGTATTGGGTTTTGTAAAGCTACAATGAATAATCTTTGTACATACAAAGTATTTGAGTTATTTTCTTAGAATGAGTTTCTGGGAGTCAAATTACTGGGTCAAAAGAATATGAATTTTTTTGAATGAATTTTTTTGAATGAATTTTTCCACATTCTGGATACCTTTCTTTTTTTAAAGATTTATTTTATTTATTTGAAAGAGTTACATAGAGAGGTAAAGAGGGAGAGAGGTAGGTCTTCCATCTGCTGGTTCACTCCTCAAATGGCTGCAACAGCCAGCGCTGAGCCAATCAGGAGTCAGGAGCTGCTTTCTGGGCCTCCCTCATGTATGCAGGATCCCAAGGACTTGGGCCATCCTCTACTGCTTTCCAAGGAATATTAGCAGGGAGCTGGATGGAAGTGGAGCAGCCAGGACTCGAACTGGTTCCCCTATGGGTTGCCAGCACTGCAGGCTGGGCTTTGACCTGCTGCACCACAGCACTGTCCTTGACATTCTAGATACTTTTTAACAGAATGCTGATGTAATCATATTTTAAGATTTATCAAGGCTGTCCTGGTTGGGGAATTTCTTCCTGCTTCTCCTACCTCTCCTTACTATGGCAAGCACTTAATAAAATAATTATTATAGTATTGTGGTTTGGAATTATGCAAACAACCAATATGTTACACATAGAGCTGAGCATATGGATTATTGCTTTTTTTAATTTGAGAAAGTATCTGAATAGTAGTGGTTTGCAGAATAGAATGTAAATTAGGTACTGCTTCACTCTTTATAATTGTAAGAAAAGCTAATGGTAAAAAGTAAATTTTTCATTTAATGGATGCTTGCTTTGAAAGCCAGCTGCTAGAATATATTTGATTTGTTGGACATGCAATAAATATATGCATATAACAGATACTTATTAAACATCTACGTGACTGACTTTGTTAGGATTCAGTGATTAGTAGTTTTTTAAAGGAAAGGTTACAACACAAGGTAATGTAACATTAGAAATAGGAAAAAATAAATTATTAGTTTTCTGAACAAAAAATTTGACATTTGAACAACGTGTTGAAGGATATACAAAATGTCAAGTCAGAGTTGGAGGCAATTATTGGGGTAGTAATTAAAATTAGTACAAGAAAACTTTAGAAATGCAGGAAAATCTATGATGTTGTAGCTGATTTTGAGGTGCCTGTTAGGAAATGAGGGCAAAGTGTAAAGGGCGTTTATTGTGACCTGATGAGTGTCCCTGTAAAGGATTCACCAAAGTGAATTATGAAATAGTGCTATGAAATAATTCATTAGGTTCTAGTGGAACCTCACCACTGGTGAGGGTGGCAGTTCTCATTACTGAAATAAAGAGTGAAATAAGATAGCAAATTAAAGTACTTTATTCAGTGCTTCGCATAAAGGTGATTATGATTTCATGGTTTAAGACTGTGAAAGGGAAACCTTTCCATGTTGGGAAGAATCTCAAGAAGGAAATTGGTTGTACAAGGGTAAAAAATGTAATGAGGAAGAAAACGACTCAGGCTTTTACAAGAACACTGTCAAGATTCCTAATACAGAAAATGAGCTGGGAATTAGGGAAAGTGATCAGAACAGTCAATACAACAAATAAACAAGCAAGCCTCCAGCCTTTTTCAAAGTAGATTCCAATCTAGATGAAATGACAAGGAAGGCAGTGTGGTGGCATTATTAAGTATGCGGTGCAGTGGTCATTGAGGAAACAAAAGAATTCATATTTTGTTTTTTATCTTCAAATTGTAGAGAAAATTATGTTCAAACTAGGGAATAGGCAAAGTAAACGTTTTTAAGATTTATTTATTTGAAAGGCAATGTCATAGAGAGTGAAACAGAAATCTTCTATCTCATGGTTCATTCCCCACATAAAACAGGACTGGACAAGACTGAAACCAGGAGACAAGAACTTTTATCCTGGTCTCCCATATGAGTGAGAGGGACCCAGACACTTGGAACATCTTCTGCTGTCTTCACAGACGCATTAGCAGGGAGCTGGACTGGAATTGGAGCCATTGGATTCAAATGGGCACTCTGTTACACAGCACTGGCATTAGAAGCAGCAGCTTAACCTGCTGGACCCCACCGACTCCAAAGTAAATATTTTTGGAGGAACTTGAAATCAAAGAAAGAATAGGGGTATATGAGCAAGTTGTTATGCTAAGGGTGTCTTCTAGCCTGAAGATGAAGAGTAGTAGTGAAAATACGGGCCGGTGCCGCGGCTCACTAGGCTAATCCTCCACCTTGCGGTGCCGGCACACCGGGTTCTAGTCCCGGTCGGGGCGCCGGATTCTGTCCCGGTTGCCCCTCTTCCAGGCTAGCTCTCTGCTGTGGCCAGGGAGTGCAGTGGAGGATGGCCCAGGTGCTTGGGCCCTGCACCACATGGGAGACCAGGATAAGTACCTGGCTCCTGCCATCGGATCAGTGCGGTGTGCCGGCCGCAGCGTGCTGGCCGCGGCAGCCATTGGAGGGTGAACCAACGGCAAAAAAAGACCTTTCTCTCTGTCTCTCTCTCACTGTCCACTCTGCCTGTCAAAAAAATTAAATAAATAAATAAAAATTTTTAAAAATGAAATAACCAGCATCTCTTGGCGGTTTTAAAAAATTGTGAGAATTAGGGGAGCCAGAAGAATGGATGTAAGCAAGTATAAACCTTTTGAGTTGAATATTGCAGGAGTAAAGTCTTTCCTCTTTGAAATACATAGTTAGCACTAATTGAGATCAAGTTTGTTTTCATAACTCTGAAGCATATTAAATATAAATTTATGAAAATCTAAATATGAAGATACGAATTTCTAAAATTTGTTAAGGCAGAGTGACAGAGAGAGAGAGAGAGAGAGAGAGATATCTTCCATCTGTTGGTTCACTCCCCAAATGATCACAATAGTCAGGGCTGGGCCAGGCTAAAACCGGAAACCAGGAACCCCATCCAGATTTCCCATGTGAGTGGCAGAGGCCCAAGTACTTGGGCCATCTTCTGCCTTCCCAAGTGCATTAGCAAGGTGAATTAAAAGCAGAACAGCAAGGACTTGAACTGGCACACTATTATGGGATGCCAGTGTCAAAAACAGCAGCTTAACCCGCTGCACTACAGTGCTAGCCTTGAACATACCAGTTTTTCCTTTTCTCCTGTGGAAAATATCCCTGTGGTAGTAAGGTGAGCATGGTTTCCCTACAGTATGGCCACTAGATGGTGCTCATACAGAAGGGATGTGTGTGTGTGTGTGTGTGTGTGTGTGTGTAAGTAATCAGGGTTTTTAGATAACAAATCTATTTATCAGTCTTTTCAGTTTAGTCTTAATCTCAGTACAATTGTATGTTTTGAAATTTAATAGCTCAGATTATAAAGAGATAAGAAAAATGCCTACTGCATTGCTTTTATAGTACATTAGTTTTGTCGTTACTTGGTAGCAACAGCAGTAGTAGTATTTTAGGACTTCAGTATTGTTTTTCTGCTTGTCCTTCAATCTTTTAAAAGTTTCCACTAAAACTAGTTGATACTTGTCACTATCCCTACAGACTTGTGGGTTTATTTGTAAGTTTAGAGATGTGTATAAATAATTGTGGACATGTTCTATATAAATTTTGAACTGTCTTTACTTTTATTTGATATTAATAAAATACATGTTTCTCAGTCATAAATTTTTTGTAATCATTTCTAAGTTATGTAATTTACCGAATATATGTACTTAATTTACTAAATTAAACAACCCTCTATAGTTTAGGCTAGAGCTCTATAGGTTATATTATTGAAAAAGGACTGTACAGGAAAAAAATTTTAATTTTTTGTATTTTATTTTGAAATATTAAGAGTGTTTTTGGCATTTATGGCACATATTTTTAATTCATTATTTTAAATAGGCTTTCTGGTTTTTCTTTTAATGAACTTTTATTTTAATAGAGATTATCTTTCAGCTGTGCTACATAGTGAGGGAGGCTATTCTAAGGCTGCTGAAACCAGTTGTGATTTAGGTTTTCATTAAGTAGCAGGTAATGAATGAGTTGATCATAGATTTTTGTGGCTCAGATGACAGCACATATTCATGAAGAAGCTTGTTTTCTTGATATGAGTGGAGATGAATAGCAAATTCATACATGGAGAGGAGTGTTTCTTCACTGTACTTCAGGGAAGCGCCAGCTGGAGTGATCTTAAACCTTAGATTGTATTCAAACTCTTGAGTTCTCCAGGATAAATCTGTACACTAAGGGCTACCAGTTTTGTCTGTATATTGATCGTGTTTGCAACTTGAGGCAAGAGATTTACCTTCAACATTTGTATTCAGAATTGTCATCCATTCTAACCCAGAATAGCAAAACCTATATTCATTCTCATATTTTGTTTTTGTTTTTTCTTCTTTCCCTGAGTTTTCATGGAATGTGGATGAAGGCACATGTTTTGCTTCCACACCAGTTACTGCAGCACTTGTATAATCCACATTAACCAATGCTTTATAGTCTACCCTGTCCATAGTAAAACTTTAATTTTTTTCAAGTGATTTCATTTTTTCCTTCAGTAAAGGTTATCAGTTGTCTGTCTTACCTTTTGTTTCTTTGAGAGAAAGAAGTAGAAAGATCTTGCATCTGCTGGTTCACTCCCAAATGGCCACAACAGCCGGAGCTAGGCCTATCCAAAGCCAGGAACCAAGAGCTTCTTCTGGGACCCAAGCACTTGGGCCATCTTCTACTGCTTTCCCAGGCCATAGCCGAGAGCTGGCTTGGAAGAGGAGTATTCGGAACAGGAACCGGCGCCCATATGGTGGCCAGTCCCGTCTGTCTTGTCTTTTATGCTTTCCACTTTTCATCTACGTCCAATTAGATAGGATCGATCTGTTCAGAGTTACAGATTACATGCCGTGGCCTACACAGTGCTTTTGAAAAAACATCAAAATTTCTGTGTTATCTTGGTCATGAAACATCTTACTCCAAGGGTCCCACATGGCTCTCCACCCTTGTTGGGCATGTGTCTGTATCTTAGGGAGCAATCTATAGAGACAGCATTGACATCTTTTCTTGCTGAGCCAGGATTTGCAATGGAACCTCAGAGTTTTAATTTGCCAATGTTATTTGCCAGTAGGCTGCATCTAGTTGGTACTGATATGTACATAGGTAAGCAGAACTTTGTCCACATCTGAAAAAATATCCATGGCTGAGGATGGGACTTATGATGTGCCCATATCAACTTAAAAATTGAATTTCTTAGCCATTAGTAAATTATCAAGTAATTTTTATTAATAATGCTGTTTTAAAATGACCATATGTTGTCATATATACTAGCATAGCAGTGTTTCGAGAACAGGCTTAGGAGTCTGGGTCTCAAACTTTTGATTGCTTAGGGATTTTTGTAAAGCAGAAATTCTGGGTTAGGCATTTGGTACATTGGTCAGTCTGCCATTTGAGATGCCTGCATCCAGTATCAGTAGGTAGGTTAGATCCCAGACCCGTTCCCAGTTTCAGCTTCCTAGTAGTTTGCACAGTGGGAGACAGCTTAAGTGGTTGGGTCCCCTCCACCCACATGGGAGACCCAGATTGAGTTCTTCGCCCTGGGCATGTGGGGAGTAAACCACCAAGAGATTCCTCCACCATTAAATAAAAAAATAATTTCCAGGTTTCTTCTACCCCTAAAAATTCTAATGGGGAGAGGATATATCATTTTTAATTTTAAATTAGCTCCCCAATCAATTCTGAGGTTAACTACTGTATTGAGAAATACAGAGAAGATATTAGGTGTTGAGAAATGTCCATTTTGTGATCAAACAATGTAAGTTACATTGTTAGATAAAACACATCGTATTGGACTTAAATTAGAATGTTTGCCAGCCTTGATCCCTCATTTTTACAAATTATAATCTTGTAATCTTTATATTTTCTTATTTTTTAATTTGAGGGAGGGAGAGAGATATACATACAGAGGTACAGAAAGCAAGCTCCCATCCACTGATCAACTTGTCAAATGCCGACGGCAATGACAGCTAGACTAGGCCAAAACTGGGAGCCAGAAACTCAATCCAGGCCTCCTACATGGGAGGCAGAAACCCAGTTAACTAGAGCTATCACCACTGCTTCCCCAGGGTCTGCATTAGCAAGAAGCTAGAATCTGGAGCCAGAGCCAGGTATCAAACCTAGGCACACCAGTGTGGGATACCACATCTTAACCACTAAGCTAAATGGCCATCTCATATACTTGTGGTCTTTTTTTTTTTTATTTTATTTAAAGATTAATTTTATTTATTTGAAAGGCAGAGTTACAGAGAGAGGCGGAAAGAGAGAGAGAAAAAAAGAGTATCTTCTGTCTGCTGGTTCACTCCCCAATTGGCCGCATTGGGTAGGGCTGAGCAGGCCGAAGTCAGGAAAGCCAGGAACTTCATCTGGGTCTCCCAAGTTGGTGTAGAGGCCCAAGCACGTGGGCCATCTTCTACTGCTTTTCCAGGCACTATAGCAGGGAGCTAGATAGGAAGTGGAATAGCCAGGACTCAAACCTGCACCCATATGGGCTGCTGGCCCCTGCATATGGCGGCTTAACCACGGTACTACAGGACTGGCCACAAACTTGTGATCTTAATATTTGTAACATACTAGAAGGATGATGCTGATAATCTTGCAGCAGTTCTTTTCTATCACAAAAGTTCCAAAAGCCTTAAGTTTGTTATGTTAATTAATCTGTGTCCAGGCTCAAATTTCAAAGTATGAAAAAATCAATGTATTACATACTCATGTTATATTACAAATGGATTTCTCTCTGTCATCAGATCCTCAGAGTTTAATGTTGATTGTGCCTTTAAAAAACTTAGAACCAGTGCTAAATAATTTAAGATCCTTCCTGATGTAGAAATTTGCATGTGAATGTCAAAGGTTCTCTTTAGTGGAATTATTTTAACATTCAGAACTATTGGCTGAAAGAATCCTCTCATATTTCTTAAATTCAGTCCATATTTATAATTTATGTAACCAGTAAAGATGCCATTGAATTTTACTACAGACAGTGATTGAAACTCGTAATTCAGGGTTTCTCCACCCCATGCATTAAATCAGGCAGCCCCAAAGGGTCTTGGTAGTCCAGTGTTTATAACATCCTTCTTTACCTGCTAATCGACCTCACTTCCTGGATTTCAGTCCGTCTAGTTATCAGCTAACAAAAGAACAGCTTTTAGTTCCTGCAGACGCTGGTGAAAAAATAATCACGAGAAAGAAATCCACCTTATGTCGTCTTTTTTATCTGCAAAAATAAACTCAGCCATCATACAGCTAACAGGTACAGAGGGAAGATACAAGCTCTTTCATAGGAAGAAATTACAGAGAAAATGAGCATCATTTCTCACGGTTTTTGTTTTCCCTGATCTACAAGTGATGATGCTGTAATTCTAGCTGCAGTTCTTACCGATCATTCACCACTCAGCAGCTGGTAGAGAAGTAAGACTGCTTGGCAACCACCTGCAGGGCTGCAGAGATGAATTACATTTTCGGAAACAACACACTTCTGTACTCTCGCGCCAGCCGAGGAGGCAATACTAGCTCTAGCCATGGCTCAGTAGGCCCAAAGCAGAAACACTGGGCAAAAAAGGGCTCATCAGATGAACTGCAAGCTGAGCCAGAACCTTCACGCTGGCAGCAGATAGTTGCATTTTTTACTCGAAGACACAGCTTTATTGACTGCATCTCGGTAGCCACCAGCTCCACCCAGGTAACATACCACTTGTTGAAATTATTTTCAATATATTTATCTGTTCACATTTGCTTTGCAAAAATGTCTTGGAATGTATTTTTTATCTAAAAAATATGCTCTGAAACCTTGGCTGCGCAGAAATATATGTTTTCAGTCCATCTATCTAGCACAAAATGGGGAACAAAAAATATTTTTTCTTATGCTCTTACGTAATGCCAAACAAAACACTTCAGATTGTGTTGAATGGCTTTTATAAAAATAAAAGGCTGTTGATACATAAACAGATGTAAACTGTAAATGTTTGTCTCCTTATTTTTAGACTGTTAAATGCTATAGAAAATGTCTGACCAAAGAAAATTCCTGTTTGTTTAGTTTTTGTGTTATTAAATAATATTAGGGAGATTGTTACAATAAGAAAATAAAAAATAATTTAATATATTTTTGTATCTTCCAGTATTTTAAGACTATATTATATATAATGTGATTGGCTAGTATTACATATACTTGTGTCTTAAAATTATGTTAAATTATGGTTCATTCAGGGGATTTAAAAATTTTTTTCATTTCTTTAAATATATATGATCATATATATGATCTATAGTTAATTTGAATTGGTAAACCTATGTGTAATTACACAGTCATGGGAAATTTTTTTTTCACATGTTCGAATCACAATTTAAAGAGATGAACAAACATTAAAAGTATCCCAAATATAAAAAAAAAAGTGTGAAGAAGTGAGTATTGATTATATAGGAAGAATAATAGAAAATAAATTTAGTAATTAAATGAAATATCTTTTGTTTGGTTTAAGAATGGTTTGGGGATGTTCATATTTTAAAATATATTTTTAACAGAAACTCATCCAACTTTAGTAAAAATAAAAGGATGAGAATTAGTCTAATTTGAAAACAGAGTGCTTTTGTCTTTGGTCATCAATAATATTTAAATAAGCAAAATATGTATATACATATTTCTTAAGGCCTTTTTAAAATAAATTTCTTTAAACCTGTCTTTTTTGGTTTATTTAATAATTAGCAGCAGCACAGTAAAAATAAATTGTAACTGTCATAGCTTCTTTATTATTTTTGATACAAAATTATCTTTTAATAATTAATTTTCAAATAATATCAACTTTCTTAGGAAATTACTTGTTTTTTTATGTATTTGAGAGAAATACTGTGGTAGAGATTATTTTCATATTAGCACTGAGGTTGTTTATAGTCAAAACTTAATGAGGGGCAATGATTGATTTCATTCTTAAATTGAATTTAACTAGACTTTGGATCCTTTTTTGATATATGTAATTGTAATCAAAGACTGAAGGTTAGTGTTGTTATCTGTATTTAATGATATTTTCTGTTATCAAGAAAGACGACATTACATCTATATGTGTTTATATATAGCTTACATAAATATATACACTATACCATGAGTATAATATATACACATACAGCCATTGATATGTCTGTACTTCATCTTAAAAGGGGCATACAAATGAAATAACATTGAAAATAGTTCACATATAAAACTGTTAGAGCCACAGAATTAGAGTTGGAATATCATATTACATAAAATAGAAATGTGAGCTCTATTTACAGTTGATCCTACAAAACCACTTAAAATTTTGTCTTCCACCCCACTTTGAGTCAGATAATTTCTATATACTGATAAATATTAGTTTTTTTCTTTCAGACCTCTTTCCTGATAATAATCTTTTTCATTACCTTTACAGTTCACCTCTAAAAGTATGGACATTAGGTCAGAAGTTTTAGCTTCTCTTTTTTTCCTGCTCTGGAGTTCTAACATTTCATTTTATGCATTTTTCTAACTGATGAATTGACTAGTTTACATATCCAAGTTTTTTTAAATAACTCACTAATGTTCATTTTATAGTATAGGATATAATGAGACTGAGAATGACATATATGGATCTTAATTAATGCTGAAATACAGTTTTCTGTTTCTTTGACTGACTTACAGCTGGCAGTTCTGTTTTGTAGTACCAGAGATACTTGTGTATTGTTATAAATAAAGTAGATTAATGAATTATCATAATTTATTGAGCATATACTACATACTTATGAATATGATAGTGTGATAGTGTTTTGTACTGTCATAACAGAAGTCTCCTATTTCAGTGTTGACAGAAATACTCTTTTCTAAGATTTGATAGGAAAATTAACCTTTAATGTAATTCATTATAACTAGATCACATGACACTTTTAGCAGACTGAAAAAATGTTATTAAATCAAGTTTATTAATATGAAAATATTTACTCTGATGTAATATCCTTCCAGATACCCATTGTAAGTAAATAAAAAGAAAATTTACTCACCTTACTGATTAATATTAAATTGCATGTCTGGAGGTATTCAGTTCATAGAACTAAGATTATTGCCAGGTTCTGCTGTAATCTGTAATGTAGTAGAAAGTCTTTACTGTTTTTCGGCATGATAAGGAAACCAAATTATTATAAACTTATGCAAGACATTCAGCTTCTTCTAGGTGATGCTCCATAAGTATTTATAGAATTAATTTTTTTTTCAGCCACCTCGACTGTTGTTCTTTCATGGCCTTCTAAAATCGGGTACCTAATCTAATGCCTCTTAGATACCTGTATTTATCGAATCTGTTCTCACAAATGCCTTTTTTTCCACAGGATCATGTCTCTTCTTTGACTTCCCTTCTCCTCCCCTCCATTCTTCTTACTACTCCCAAGCCATATAAATCCACGCTCATGTGATTTCTTCACCCCTTTCAGTTCCCCATCCAGTAGTATAAGTATACATCCAGATGTATAAGTATATACATCATAAGCTTTGTCTCTTAATTTTTATCATTTGATTGTATCGCACAATTTTACATGTGGCTTTTTGGGGATGTTTGTTAACATTAGTTCCTTGTAAATTTACTTCCTTTGGCATAAGTTTTTCTATTTTGGGCTTCATACCACTTACGTCTTTAATTTTTAACATAAATATAGTACAGAAAAAGTAGCCTGTGCATTGTCACGCTCTTCTTGATTCCTCATCTCTGCATCCCTCCCATTTTTATTTTAGGATCACTTGATACCAAATAGCCCTGTACTATAAAATGTACTCAAATCCCTAAAGTAGATCATTATAAATATGCAAAACATTTCTCCTAAAACTATTAACATGCCAAATTAAACTGAAAGTAACAATTCTTTATTCCTAGGATAGCATGGAACAGACACAGAGATTTGTCAGAACTGAAGTAGAATTGGTAATATTTTCATAAAAGCAAATATTAGCTATATGAGTTGAATAATTTGCTTAGAAGAATAATCCTAACTTAAAATACAGGAAAACTTTGTTCAAATACCTGTATGGAAAAACAGAGGTTCATATAGGTTAACAGTAGGTTAATTTGTATTATAAAAAGAATACTATTTGTCTCAAACAGATTTTGAATTACAAAGGATTTAATTTTTAGAGATATGCATTGGATATTTTTTGTCCCCCAAATGGAGTCAGTAATAGAATTAATCTCATTAAATGACTTAATATTTATCATTTAATATAAATGATTTGATAATATATAGCTTACTTGGAATTGTACGTAGCACATAGTAAGTGCTACATTAGAAATAGGTGCAGCCATTACTTATTTTTGAATTCCCTATCTCCTGAACTCTCTGGACAAATTAAAATACAGGAATTACAGAACCTACGGTGATATAGTACATTCAAGTATTTAATAAATGTTGTTTACAGGATAAGTTAACTTTAAGTACAAGCTGTCCAGTTTTTTAAGAACCACAGATCTGGGGCCAGTGAGTCCCGGCTGTTCCACTTCCGATGCATCTCTTTGTTAACGTGGCTGGGAATGCAGTAGAAAATGACTGAAGTGTTTGGGCCCCTGCATCCTAATGGGAGACCTGGAAGAAGCTCCAGGCTCCTGGCTTCAGATTGTCACAGCTCTGGCTGTTGCAGCCATTTGGGGAGTGAACCAACGGATGAAAGACCTGCCTCTGCCTCTGCCTCTGCCTCTCTGTAACTCTGCCTTTCAAATAAATAAAAATTTTTTTTTTTTTTTTTTTTTAAAGAACCACAGATCTGAACGCCTTTAATTGAGGGATTTAAGGGCCAGGTGCCAGACAGCCCTCAAATTATTGATGGGACCAAGTCCCTAACCTTGTTGCCGCTCCCAACATTGCCTGCTGCAAATTGCCAACAACTAGTCATCAGTAGATAATTAAATTGAACTGATTACCCACTCCATTCCAAGCTTCCTCAAATGTATCAGGAATATCCTTAGATTTTACACTCCCTTTTAGCCTCAGTTACCACAGAAAGAGCAGACTTTCCAGGTCACTCTCACTCATTTCGCTACCCCTTTGTTCCTGTGGTATATCCCTTATCTGCTTTAAACTCCCATTTACCCATAACCACATAAACCTCTTCAGTCTGTCCTTTGGGACTTCTAATTTGTCATCATCAAAATCTCCTTTATGCATATCCTCTCCTATGATGGTTCATCTCACCTGCCTTTCTCTCTTAGAAACCTGGCATTCTTCTAAGAAAAAACCATGACACCCCCCCCACACACACACACACAGACCCGCATCCCTCACAAAAAGTGAAACTGCCACAACACATGTACCATGAGACCAACAGATGGAATTGGTGTCTGTCTTTGCTTATCATCGGTATTTTGGGATTATTGTATCTCTTTCTTTTTAAAACTTTTTTTTTTCATCAGGCAGTATTTTCTAATTCCCCTCCTTTTCTAGTCATCTGCATCTCTCCCAGTCACTCTTAGTAATTACTAATTGATGGTTTAAGAACCTGTTTTGCTATCTTTCCTCTGTTCACTATTCTTGAAATCATCCTTAGTGATTTTCAGTTCTTTGATCCATCCATACAAAATTTTTGACTTCTCACTTCTTTGATATTCTTACCCTAAGGGATCTTGATTTTTCTTTCACTTGAGTAATCCACTCTCTCATTACCATCAAATATACTACAAAAGTAGTTTCTGTTTGCTGTTGCCA